GTATTATTTAAAAAATACAATATTAAAATAAATTCCAAGTTAGAAAAATCGCTACGCAAATCATGATTTATAAATGTTCCTGACGTATTGATGATTTGTAAATGTTTCTGACGAGTCGAAAAGTAATTTTAGAATAACTATGAACATCCAACATTTCAATAGTTATAAATAAAGCCGTCATGGTTTTTTTCTGATTTCTGATCAAAAGGCTAGATCTTTCCTTAGCACGAAGAGTAGTTTTTGAAATACCTAGTTAAAAAAAAGTATATAATGTTCTTTATATGTCCAAAAACATGCTTATATCAAAATAATTCTGAATATATTAAAATATTATGTTTATTAGATGCAAGATGAGATTTTTATCGTAAATTATTTCCTCAAACGTAGTAATTGTAATTTAGAAAATGTCTTTGATTTTTTATATACTTTAAATATGTATATTATCTGCAAGAAGGAATAGCGCCATACGACATATACAATACGTTCTCGCGGTTCAAATGCATCGAATAGTTTTGAAACAAATCCAAAGCAGTCTAAAACAGATCTCGAGAAACTTTGTAGACACTGCCAGCTTCCAGATTGCGGATAGTTGAAGTAGGTTTGTGAAGGAGCATTCGCGAAACGATAATTATGAACAGGATGTGAAGAGTCCATTGGGAAGTGCAGGGCACTTCATTGTGCATCGAATATCGAGCGATAATGCGTGATGCTGAAAGGGATAAATAAGGACCGGGACGTGCGGACTATAGAAAGACAGCATCCGGCCAATCGGGAGTTTTCGCTTATCGGCCGCTTAACGAAGGATGAATGCAAAGGGACGGCCATTCAGAGACGGGCAAACGAAAGAATAAATTGAGTTAAATTAAACGAGACCTTCCTTTACGCGACTCTTCTCAAGGCAAATGACATCGTCGATGAAGCGATACCGCAATGCAAATTCTCGATCTTATTTAGAAATTTTTCATTTTATCTGAGATGCACTGCTTTCGTCGCAAATGCAGCGTATCTCTTTAAATCTTTTTTTTTCTTTATAAAAGAATTTGTTTAAGAAAACG